CCCCTCACTGTAGGTTTAATTCTGAATGTAAGATGGGTTGCATAAAATTGCTAATTTGCAAATATTTATTTAATTTTTTATTAATTATTTGTTTTAACAAAATTTTTAATAAAAGTTTTCTTACAAAATCTGTTTTTGATTACCAATTCTTTTGTTTCTTTTTTCATAATATTTCTTGAATTATTTTTTTCCAATAATTGGCCTTTTTTTAAAATTGGTAACATTTAATTTATAAAGTTCAAATTTTATATAATTTAAACATAAATAGATGTGTTATTGTATAGAATAAAATGAAACACAATATATTTAAAGAATAATAAAAATTGCGTTTAAATCTCCCGCTGTGCAATATTTTAATGGCCTTGGAGACAAAGCGACATCTCTTCAATTTATCAAACTTTTTTGTAGATATTCTGATTGCCGTTCACTCTGATTGTTATGTCGAAAATTAACTTCTGTTGTGATAAAGTTTTGTTTGTGTTAAATGGTACATCGTGCAAAACACATATGAGTGGCAGAAGAATATGTCAAGTTTGAAAATTGGTAAGTAGACGCCAAAAGATCGCTCGATATTGTTCTGTTTTGGTCCCACCCCCATTATATTACTGCCCGTGGGTAATCCTAATGCTCCCCCTTGCAGAGATTATCGAAAATTGTTTTGAGATTACCTTTATCACAAATATCCTGTGAGTCATGTATTATAAACAAACCTAAAAATGACAACATTTACAACACCTTGCTTTTGTATTATGAAGTTATTTTTTTTGTTTTCCCATTGAATAAGAAGCATGATAACACACCGTTTTCTTTTTGTTTTAAGCATTGGAGCTGAGCAAATTGTTGTAGCATAGAAGCATGTATGTCAGCTAGCACTAGTTAGTTGTGCTTGTTGTCATGTTGGAGACCAGATCTATAAGGGGAATGCCTGAACACTCTTGGAATAACTACGGAGCAAGAATATCTCCTCACCAAATGGCTACACCAGTTAGACATGGTAAATATGCAATGCACTTTCAGTTTGCTTTAGTATTACCTACTGTTTAAGTCCTTTACATTCCTTTTAAAATGTTGTCTTATAGCTGAAGTAAGACAGAACATTCAGGAGTCACAGCTTTGTAGAACAATATTAAATACCTTTTAAATGAATGTAATGAGTTACTTAAATTTCCATCGAACTCTATGAACAATTTTTTAACTGCAAAGAAATTATTTATTTTTAAGAACAATTCATTTTCAGTTTTTTTTTTTGTTTAATTTTAGGCTTATGCTTTAACTTGTTGCTTGTATTTAGCTTTGTGCATCCTGTTTGTTTCTGTTTATCTTTTAATATAAGCTAGTATTTTCCAACATCACAGTTTTGTCACTGTTAAATTATTATGATCTAATTCTGTACTTGAAGGCCAATAATCCAAAACCCATATTGAAATAATCCAGATGACACACAAACTAAATAGTGAATAATATGCATTCTAGATATGTGTTGCTGTCAAACTCACATTATTTTGACTTTCTGTTTGAATAGATCTGAATCAGTTCAGTTCCAGGTCAGTGACCTGTCCCTTGGTAATCTAATCTTGTGTATTAAAGAATATATGAATCAATTAAATGGATAAAATAACTACATTTGTTTTTTATATGTTAATGACAGGTTATATTATTATCTCAGCTGGTCCTATTTTATCAACCACCGCTCTGGAAATATCTTCCTGATACATCATTATATCATTCTCTTTTTCTGTTTTCATTGCTGCTGAAGTTTTGATATTTCATGTCATGCTGGTATCCTCTGATAATGTGATCTAAATATTCTGGATTACCAATCCTTCTATTGACTTCTTCATATTAGTAGTGTTGTTCAAACTATTGACTTTTAAATACTTTGATTATTATATAATTTATTTCACTAGAATTGATTAGATCAGTATCATATCATTATAAATTACATGTAATATTTGATTATTTCGGCCATTTGCCCTTTTAAAAGAACATGATATACAAATAAAAAAATGATTATATTAATATTTCAAATTACTCCATATCCCTAGTTGGGTGTTGTTTTGATTCTTACAATTTTACCAGATATCATAGTTATAAAATATTAATACTGTCTAAACTAATTTAAACATTTGAACTTGTCATCTCTTTTCAAAATTCTTACTTATTAACATCTTTGTCATTATACATCTAGCACCAAAAAATTGTAATTAGGGTTGTCTTTGAAATGAAAAATTTATCGTTTGGTAGATTACACACTCCCACACAAAAATGTTACATAATATTTAATATAATTTGTTTATAATTTTCTATTTTCTTCAAAATAAAAATGTACAAAAATAAGATAATCTCAAACCCATTTAAGCTATTTTGGGTACTTTTGTAAGCTAGATACATAGTTGTCAGTTGTCTAATAAAACCCATGAATAAGGTCATTCAAAAGTTGAACCTCATTTGCTTTTGAGTTGTCTATTTTAAGTATTTTCAAAAATTTAGAATCATATTGAAATTCTGCAAAATGAAAAACATTTTGCAGGATTTAACTACTAACTTACTACTTTATAGAATTGGGAATTCCAGTGATACCATGTCCACCCAAAGTATCTTTGACAATGAATTAACTTAAATAACTTCTAATAGAACCTAAATTGAATCTTTAACCCAACAACAAAATTGTGAAATGTATGTATAGATCAACTGCATAAAAGTTCATATACTGACAAGAGACAATTGGAAATAAAAATATTGGAGAAAGTAATATGCATAATTGCAGTATTAGAGTGACATAATATTAGCAAAGAATATAGACGCATATACAAGGACAGTTCAAATGGGTGATTTGGTCATAGTTGTGACTGCTGACTGCATAAACTCAAACTCAAAGATGTAGTTAAGGGGAAGAGGGAAAGGAGTATGAATGGAGCAATTTATTTAACTTATGCATCTACATATAATCAAATTTCAATGGCATTGATTGCAAACTGCCTTTTTTTGTTTTTTTCACAACAAAATCTTTATTTTTAATATATTAAAATGTAAAATTTTTATTTTTAAAACTTAAAAAGATATATTTACAAAATTCAAAGTATTTATTTTTTTTTATTATTATATAAATAAAATTTTATAACTTTGAATTAAAAATAGGTTTGTTCCAACAATATGAAAAACCGTCACATAACTTTTTATACACTGTTTTCCTGCCCAAAAGATTTATGAATCATTTTTAAAAAATTTCAAAATTTTTCAACCAAAAATTTAATTTTCTCAGAACTTTTCATCAAACTTTTTAGACAATTTTGACTTCTGTCCTTTAATTTGCAAGATTGTCATTCCACCAGGTACTTTCCTGTTGAAATTCCTCACAGCGCTTAAAGACAGTTATCTTTAATCACTGACATGACAATGAAATTGTACGGCGGCCATGTGTACATTCAATGTATGCCGTATCGTACCTTTAATCTTACCTAAACAATATTCCAGATCTCCTTGATATGCTTAAAATTTGTTTTACGAGGATTACGATAAGTTTCCTTGATATGCTCATTGCCTGTCTTGATGGTCTGAACAGTACACATCATCTAATGCATGCCATTTGATTAATGATTATTATTATGAACATTGACAATGTTTAATTGATTAATTGCTGTTCTAACTCCCTTGATGGTTGTTTGCGATCATCATATGGGAGGTATGCTGATCTGAGAACTATCTCCTTCATAACTCCTTCCTCTATAACCTTTATCTTTACTGTCGTTCTGTCTGTGGAACAGAGATCATAACCAGTTTCTGTGTTAAGGTCTTGATTTTGCCTCTTTAGATGGGTCCTGATAGTTTTGTCATCAAGGGGACCATGGGGCGCTTGGGCATATTATTTTTAACAATTATATTTAAGTTTACTCCCTTCCACAGGCCCGCAATAGTTTTCACAACTTCAGTTGTCCATTTGTTTATACTCATTAACACAGTTCACCCACAGGGTCCCTAAACGATGTTTTATGGAACTGCAGAAGTTCATTTTGGCCTCAGATAGAAGCCTAATCAATTGCTTCCTCCAGTTTGTTAATGATCAAATTTGCTTGAGCCTGATCTAGTTGAGTATCAGGATGTTGTCACCATTTTGAATACTTTTGTCAGGGTGCTTTATGACCTAGTCTTCTCGTTAGAACACCTTAGTTTCTTAGCAACTTTGTTACAAGGGGGGTGATGGTATTCTCCTGAAATATCTTTTTATCGTCAGATGTTGCTGATTTGGATTTCTTAGTATTTGCTAATTCCCAGCAGCCATTTTCGCCTTTTTCTTATCTTCCTTTGTTAAGCTCTAGTGAGGCGTTATTTGAGACTTATTTATTTTTTAATTTAAAAATCCGAAATTATACTTCACAATTTCAAATTTTCAAATTGTAAGAAATAAATCTTTGGTGTGCCTATGTGCTTAAAAGCAATTCTAGCATACTAACAAGATCAGGAATTGTTTTTTGATCGAAACGCCTTACAATTTTGTGAGCTGTCTCTCCCAGTTATTGCCTTTTAATTAATTTTATTTATAGTTTATAAGAAGAGAGTTTTAATTATATTATTTGTAGATTTGTACATATTTTAAAAATTTGCATCATAATATTTTTTCTAAAAGATTAATTTATTAAAAGTTAAAATAATATTATTTTCTTTAAAAAATTTTATAAAACGCAAAAATTTAATGCTATTCTACGACCACGTGGCATCTACATATAAAAATATCTCAACTGGCATTTGTTGCCCAACTCTTTCATATTTTAGAAGTAATAATAGCACTGACATGATCGCTCCCTAGTGGTACTAATAAGGAACTAAAATCTTGATCCAGCTTTGCTTCTTTTTTATAACGTGTGTTCAACCTTTGCCGACGCTAAAAAATAACAGTGAAATATCCTTCTATATGCATCTATATTCTTTGATATTAGTGTTCAAAACTAAAATAGCAAAATCACAATAGTGCAGCATTTAAGTTTGTGTGTACAAATAGTTTACACAGGACTATATCTCTGATGGTGTATGGTTAGATCATTATTTGTAATTGTGATGTCTTAGTCTATAGTGGAGGTTTTAGTATTCAGGGTTTAGATTGTTAAATAATTTATGATTGTAAATTTGTAATTAACACAGATAGTGCACACAGGAATTTTAGATCTAATATTGAAATATTAAATGATCTTACAATTATTTATTCAATACTGACATAAATCATGGAATTTTACTGCATATTAATATTATGACTGGCTCTATCTAATTAGCCATCTTCCGTCCATCTTTGGACATAGGCCTCCCCAATCCTGTTCCATTCTTCTGTGTCTATCGCTACAGTCATCCACCTAGAGCTCATGTGCTTCTTGATATCATCTGCCTATCTCATTTGGGGCCTTCCTCTGCTTCGTTTATATTCCCACGGTGTCCAACTTATAAGAATTTTGTTCCATTGGTCTTATTTTTGTCTTATATTGTGTCTGGCAAATCTCATTTCAATTTTGCAACTTCTTGTCTAACATCCCTTACTTTTGTTTTTTCTCTTATCCACTCGTTTCTCTTTTTATCCATTAGTCTTATGTGCAACATTTATCTTTCCATTGCTCTTTGGGTTTTTATGATTTTGTCCATGTTTGCTTTTGTAAATGTCCACGTTTGGGAACCATAAGTAAGAACAGGGAGTACGCATTGATTGTGATACTTTGGTCTTAAGATGCTGTGGATATCTTTTGTTTTTAAGAATGTAGCTTAGTTTGCCAAAGGCTGTCCATGCCAGTCTAAGTCATCTTTTTATCTCCTGCTGTTTGGCTTTCTTTGTTAAGTTGTATAGTTTGACCCAGATATATATATATATATATAATTATATATATATATATATATATATATATATATATACTTCATCTAATTTAGATAACGACTTACGTCATTATCTACGTCAGAGATCGAAGTTGACATAGTTGCCAAAGTATAAAAAATCCTGACTCCATTTTAAATCAAATA